GTGCCGGGTGGTTAAGGCGTCTGACTGGAATCATGAAAATGACTGTTAGTGATCAGATGGGTTCTCCCGCGTAGGTTCGAATCCTACTCGCAGCGTTTCTCTTTTTTTTCGTTCATCGAGAAATGAAGAGATTTTTTCGATGTATATTTGAAGATGAAGATGTATTCATTATAAACTTTTTAATTCACACAACAAGGAATATAAAAATTTAACAAGAATGTTGTTGTAAGTCTATTATACAACGATGAGATAGACCGATGCATAATGGATACTCTAACAGGCATAGTCTTTAACCTAGCGTAACGAAAAGCTCAGTTCCACAAAATTTTTCAGAGCATTTCTTTTATATCTTAGAACATTTTCCGAGCTGTTAGTGCGATACGTTTAAGTTTCAACACCTTATTTAGTTTAGAAATTCACAGTCTCAAGTACGAACGACAAACGTCTTTACATCTTCTGCAGTTTTTGCCCATTCGAGTGAAACTAATCTTCTTTATATCCTGCTGTTATCACTTCATTCCTGACGTTGTTTTTAAGAACTGTTAGGATGAGCTGGGAAAGTTCTTTCTGCATGTTCACATTTCAATTAATGGAAAGGAGTTATTTTAAGCTTCAACGATTTTCTTGAGACGCTTTGGATTAAAAAAAAAGGATTGAATTCCTCTTTTATAAGAACAATAACAAGTAATTCACAGCATTTTGTTCCTTGTAAGTAAGTGAAAAAAAGATGTTTGCAATACATTAAATAAAGACAGATAATGCCATTAAACTCAACAATCGCATATCTTCGTGATATCACAGATGAAGTTCGTTTTATCTTTGGCCTTTTCAACTTAGTTGTCGGTCTCATTAGTAATTTATCTTTGATCATTATTTTCACAAATTTGAAAGTTTTTCAAAAGACTCCTTCGAGTTTTTATCTGTTGATGGAATCTTATACAAACATTGGATTATTGATCTTCGCTTCTTCGTCACATATTTCAGCTATTATCTTCAGTGTTGATCCAACACTTGTATCACTCCAATGGTGTAAGTTTCGTTATGGTTTCAATCAACTCTTTGGTTTATGTTCATTGTTCACAATATGTTTCACAACAATCGATCGGTATTTCTCCACCCATCATCGTTATACCATTCGTCAACTGAGCACAATGCAATATGCGTGTTTATTTGAGATCATCACTTTACTTCTTTCATTACCTCATGGAATCTTGTTCTATATCTATGCTTCGATTGATCAATCATCATTTGGATGTTCAATTTATAATGTAATGATGAGGAAGTACTTGTCTTATTTCTACTTTCCATTGTTGAGTAATGCATTACCAATCCTCATCACAGTTACATTCAGTTTGTTGTCTTATCGGAATGTTCGTCGAATAGTTCGAAGACAAATTCCCATTCGACGACGACGATTAGATCAACAATTGACATCCATGATCCTGATTCGAGTTGTATCATTGATTTTCTTTGGTTTGCCCTACGTGATTTTTTTCATTATATAGATTGAACATTGCTAATGACGATAATACTCTGAAAACAACTGTTGCAGCCCTTCTCACAGCATTAGGTTATTCATTGTTATACACAAACTTCTCCGTAAGATATTTTTCCTTGCATCATTTGTTTTTTAATCAGTCTGTTTTTAGATCAACTTTTATTTGTTTTTAATAGTTTCAGTTCGATTTCGTTGTCAAGTGAAGCATTTTATTCGAAAAGTATTGCATGATTTCTGCCATGTATTACGTTCGCCAAGACACATCAATTTGCAAAATAATCAAGTTGTGCCACATGCACTTGTAGGAAATACTTTGACTGGAGAATTCGCAAAAGAAAATACATTCCAATAACGAAAATTTCGATGTACTTTTTTATGTGATTTAAAGTGACGGAGAAAACTTTATCATTTTCTTAGAAATAAAGATGTCGTTAGAAATTCAATATCTTTATATTTAGACGTTCGCAAGGTTTGGATTTATTTCTTCATTTAACAATTATAATTCGTCTGAAGCTTCCCTGTAGTGATTCTGATAATTAAATTTCATCACATGAATCACTTAGAAAACTATAGAAAAAAGTTAAGCTCATA